CTTAGGACGAGCATATCGAGCATCATAGAGTAGTGTTGCAAACACTACAAAAAAATGACTAAATAATGGCATTTTTTATTGTTTATAATGGCGGTTTGAATCGCCATTATTCACATGAATGGCGGTTGCTAGATAGTGTAAGCTTCTTAGGACATGTGATGTTTGATGGAGAGATAGTTATAAGCCCTTCTAATGTAGAAGTTGTTTTAGAGTGGAAAACACCTAAATCAATTTTTGAGATTAGGAGTCTTCATGGACTAGCTGGGTATTATAGGGGGTTTATAAAAGATTTTTCTAAGTTAGCCTTGCCTTTGACCAAGTTAACTAGCAAGAACCAACCTTTTGTGTGGGACTCTAAGTGTGAGAAGAACTTTCAAGAGCTTAAGAGTAGACTAACTAGTGCACCTATTTTAGTGTTACATGACCCTATTGAGACCTTTGTAGTGCATTGCAATACATCTAAGATGGGTTTAGGAGGAATGCTTATGAAAAAAAGGGGAATGTAGTGGCTTATGCATCTAAGCAATTGAAAATCCATGAACAAAACTACCCTAGCCATAACCTAGAGTTAGTTGTAATAGTTTTTGTGTTAAATTTATGGAGGCATTACCTATTTGGATCTAGATTTGAGGTGTTTAGTGACCATAAAAAACCTTAAGTACATTTTGACCAAAAAGAGCTTAACATGAGACAAAGAAAGTGGTTAGAATTTCTTAAGGAATATGATTTTGAACTTAGTTATCACCTCGGTAAGGCCAATGTAGTGGCTGATGCCTTAAGTAGGAAATTCCTTCAGGTGTTTGCTTTAATAGTTAAAGAGCTCAATTTGTTAGAAGAATTTAAAGACTTTAGTTTGGCTTTTGATTTAACCCCTAGAAGTATTAGATTGCAAACCTTGAGAATGACCAATATCCTAATAGATGAGATTAGGGAGGGCTAGAAGGTAGATATTTTCTTGTTAAGCCAAATAGAGAAGTTGAACTAAGGGAACGAGAATGAGTTTAGAGTTGGTATGAATGAGGGTGTAATTAGCAGATTAGAGAAGGTGTAACTAGCAAAGTCTTGTAAAACTTATTTAGGCTTGGATGGCCTAAATCCACTTGCTCATGCAAGTAGTTTGGACATCTAAACCATGCCAAGCTTGCCATCTAAGCAACAAATTAAGTCACATGACTTTAATAGTGAGGTCTCAACAAACTTGTTAAAAGTAATAATTAGTTTTGTAGTTGTAATGATCAGGTTAGGTAGTTGGAGTTAACTTAAGCTAACCTAGGTTATTCTTAAACTAGGATTAGCTTAGCTTGCTCCATAAATTTCTAGACAACTAACTAGACTTGTAGACATTTAAATAAAGTTAGTTAGCTTAAATACAAGATAGCTAACCATGGTTAGTCTAGCTTACACTATAAGCCAACTAAACTCTATATATTATAGTTTTGTCTGTTTTGTTGGAACTTTTGATGCATTTATAGAGCTTTGGCTGAGATTTTCTCTCTAATATCTCTCTCTCAAAAGTCTAAATTCTATCTTTGATTTAATTCTAATTCTTTTATTCTCTTCCTAAGAGTGTGGTGAGCGTTGAAGTGGTTTATCTTCTACCTTGAAGTGACACCGCTTGAAGAAAACTCCTCACCTTCTAAGGTGAAACCAAAGGTCACTTCCTCTATTGGAGAACTTGAAGAAACTTGAGGCGTGTCAAGAAGCAAAAGATCTAGGAAGGAACTTGAAGGAGAAACCACATCAATCCAGTTACTCCATAAGATTTCCATTAGATCCATCTTAGGATAGTTCTTTGAAGAACTTCCCTACGTCTTGTAGTCTTTATTGGGATAAAAATTAAAGTGGAAATATTCTTTTTTGAAAAAAATGTTTCCTTAAAAGTTGTTGCTCCACCTTAATATAAAGTTGGACTAAGTCATTTAAGTCCATATAAGGTAGGAGTTCTAACTTATCTCTTATCTTAAGACTAAGATCACTTAAGAATCTATAAATGGTGGACCTTTCTTTTTCCTTAACCCATGCCTTCATCATATATAAGAGAAAATTTAGAAAAAAAGTCAACAAAAGCTAATTAGAAAAGCTAAACTCAAAATAGGAATTGATATGACAAACTCAAAGAAGTTCAAACATGAAAAACTAGAATTAAGGCAATTTAAGAAAGCTATAACACAAAAGAATGTTCTAGAAAAGATCTATAATAGATGAACAATACTAAAGGAAAGATTTAAATAATTAAGAGAAATTGTCTTTGTGAAACTAGTTGCAAATTTTAATTTCAAAATTGAGTGACATTTAATTTCAACTCTTTTTTCTTTTTGGCCTTTTCTTTTTTATCTTTACTTATATATATATATATATATAAAATTCTTCAAATATTTCTTTTCTTTTCTTCAAAAGGAGCTCTCGGCCTTTTACTATTGTTACTAAAAAATTTGATTCAAATATTTTTTTAAAGGTGAAATGGCAACTTGTAGTATTTGAATTCAAAATTTGAAATTGTGTGATTTCTTTCAATTAGATCTGTGTGCACATGCTAAGTGTAACCAACCTCAGCCACTTGAATCACACCCATGCACTACACTATCAAAATTTGAATTTCAAAATTCAAATCACAAGTTCTTGAATTCAAATATTTTGGAGCCACAACAATTTAAACAATTTAGATTCAACAAGAAATTTATTGATGACCTAAAAACACAGTGAAAACCTAACTCTAAGGAATTCATTAATGATATAATAGTGAATATGAACTCAAATTTGAAATTCAAAATCATTCAAAGTAAGTGATAGGTTCGGCAAAAAAGAAGAAGATAGACATATGTGATTCAATTTTATAGATCAAGCAAGCACAACTAGGATATCATGATATATGAGGACTATACATGACTTCTAGACAACTTGAAAAGATCTAAAACATCAAAATCATGCATCAACTATCAATTTGATCGAAGCAAATGATGAATAAAACTCAAACAATTTCAAAATGTATCGTGTTAAGCATGGATCCTAGAGGTGTAACAAGAATTGGTTTAAAATTTATAGATTGAACAATTTTTGTGAACCAACATTTTCAAGATAAGAAATAGATCTATCAAATATCATGCAAGAATTTAGATCTGTTCAACATACATTCACTCAAGACAACCAAGAAGAATTAAGACAAATTGAATTGGTGAAATGAAAAAAATTGCAAGGAAGACAATCATGGCTCTAGATACCAAATTGATGGAACCTCTAATGAAGAATGATAGATGAATCCTCCATTGTAGCTCCTCGAACCCACTTGAATCTTCCTTGCTGAATTCCAACAAATTGGACCAAATGGAATGAAAGGATGAAGTGTATGTGGTGCGCCAAGTCTCCTAGAGAAAGAGAAGTAAGTAAATGTACTATACTCCACAAGGAAGGTTTCCTTGTTGGAAGTACTTAAAGAGAGTGATTCTCGAATGAAACTTTTGAGAGAGAAAAGAGAGAATTAAGAATATGAATACTTATAAGACTCAAAAGTGGCACATACAAATATGGAGAAGGCCTTAAATAGATCTAAATGGCTTATAGGAGATGCTAACTTGACCAAGGTTCAAAATGAACCAAGATTAGTTTACTAAGGTGGTTTGGCATGCCAATTTGAATTTGAAATTCAAATTGGTGTGTGAACCTTCCCTCCCCCATGTGCTCCCATGTGCACTTATATCTAGGATTTGAATTGATGCATTTAAATGCCATGTGATGCACATTTGCATTTGAATTTAGGAGTTCATGTGCGCCTAACCACATGGTCGACCATATGTTCTTCTAATTCAAATGTGTGTCAAGGTCCAAATGAACAATTTCAATCCTAAGGCCCAACAAAAACCTACAATACTTAGCCCAAGAAATACAAGGCCCGTAAGTCCTACACTATAAGGCCAAAAATAAGGTAAAGTATTGGGCTTTAAATAGTAGCCTAACTTAAGAGAAGCTTTTGCCCGCTAACCTTTGTACAGGCCTAGTCCTCCTACATCCTCCTAGCCATAGCCCTAGTGGTGGGTCCCTTTGGCTAGGCCTCTACCATCAGATAGTTATGAGAAGTTTAATTTATACATTATTTCCATTTAAATTATAAATATTGTATATTATATACATTTGTATTGAAATAGACAATAATATGTTGATTTGAACTGCTTGGAATGTACTTGAATATATAGTTGTTATGTAGGTGTGGCAAACTACAAAAAATGATTTGTATTTAAAAAAAATCCACATCTAATGGTGGGTAACACCCATCCTAAAATGTGATATAGTCTATAATTGGTGCGATGTTATCCATTATAGAATATGACACATTATATGATGGGTAACATTCCATAATAAGTGTGAAATTACCCATCATAAAATATTCACATTCTATGACGAATATTATCACACCCTCTATAGAATGTGTCACATTCTATGATAGGTAACATCAATAGTCGTCATAGAATGTGAGTATTAGAGTTCCATATAACCATATTTTGTATCCTTACTATGATGAGCATTGACCACACCTTACATAAAAAGTAAACATTCTATGTTGGTTGTGGACATGTCATAGAATGTATGGTCATTTTATATCACCAAGATGTATATTACATCCTAAGCCGATCGACATAAAAAGTCCAAAACATCCATATGCATGAAATGTCTCCCTTGCACTAATGTATGATCTTTGTTGTTTCTTGTTATTTATTATTTTATTTTATATTGGGGATATTGCAAATGATTGATAAGCTAACATCCTTGGGATGTCTTGGTCCAATAGTATTGCTTATCATTTCTAACCTTTTTATTAAAAAAAGACAATAATTCATAAAAATCTAATATAATTGTGTTAAGTTGTGCACAATTTAAATTGCAACGAACGTAGTCCACATCATAAGATCTGCAGTATTAGTAAATGAGAAAGCCTTAACCGAAACACGTCGACTGTGATTTGTGATTACAATCTAAACCTAAGTGGAAAATTAAAAGGAAGAATGAAATTAATTTTAAGAGGAAAATTTCCTTTTATTCCTTGAGAACAAATCTAAAATGAGCAATGGCATACACCAACATAATCAAAATCAAGGAGAACTAGATGTTGCAATGATATATACAAGTGGCAGAACTGAATCTAACTAGGAACATAGATTGTGAAAGTTCCAACATTTAGGGGCATTTGGGGCCTCCCCTTTTGGTCTTCCAGTTGTTGTAGCAAGGGCAGACCTCCTTGTTGCCATAAGTTCCAGGTGGCACACACAAGCATTTGGCACAGCACTTTTGGCAGAAGAACAAACACGGCTTCTTGTATTGTGTCTTCGAGCATCTGTCCGCACAACGAGGACTGCAATCTGCAATTTCATACACCATTTTAAAAGGAAATGAGTTTTCTTATACCTTTACAAATAGGATATTATATTTCAATTCTGTAAACTTAAAATCTAACTCGATCAACATATAGGATATGATATTATGTCATCCCGACTAGCTGCATTATATATTTATTTTGACAGTATATTTTAAGATAAATAATATTGATATAAACATAATATCATATCAGATAAAATGTTATTTATTAAATTAAGAATTTGTATTATTCTTATATAACTATATATTCAAAAATAAATGTTAAATACAAGACATCTGACTGGATATTAAAACGATTTAGTGTGTTTTAAATATTAATTTAAAACTACGTTCAACAAAAAAATACATATTTTAATGTAGAAAAAAAAATAAAAGTTTGTAAGTAAAGTTCTTTTTTAACTTTAGTTGGTTAAATTCAACCGGTTCCAAACATACCCTTAAAAGGTTACCTAAAGTTATTTTAAAAATACACCAAGTGTAATTTATTGAATCCAGACTGTCAAAAGTCTCTTTGAACGAGTCGGGGCATGAAAATTCCCAGTTCTACTGGCCTTCAATCCTTTCAATATTTTTTCGAAAATATCATGTTCTCTAGCTTTTATTTATAAGCATAGTTGTGGTGCATTTATTCATACCTTGTGGTTGAAGACTACCTTCAGTAGTGCCATCCTGAAACTCAAGAAAACAAAGACGAAATCAACGCAAGAAAAGTGCAAATTTGTACACTGTCTACGAAGATTGTTAACTTTAATGTTCATAAAAATTAGCTTTATATATGCGAATTTGTAAAAAAAAAAAAAAACAGAATATGATAAAAGCATTACCTTTTTGCTTGGCTGTTTAACTGGTGCAGGAGCGGGAGCGGGAGCTGGGGTCTCAATGGTAGCAGCATCAATCTCAGTCTGAAGGTGTCAGTGTTAGTGTATGCTATTTATAAAATAGACATTTATCAACATAGACATTTATATTTACAAATCTATGTTCATCCTTAACTATATAAGACTTGATTGTATCTCAGTATTATTCATGCTATTGTCAAACCAAATTATGATTAATAAACCAAATTATGATTAAAGAATTACACAGCAAATGCAATTTAAAACCGTGGATTAGAGTGTGTGTGTGCATGAGAGGGAGTTATAGGAATGATGTTATCTTACATGGCTCTCCACAAGAAGAAGAAGCATTGAAACTAGGCAGAAGATAGAGATGCTCAAGTTTGTGGCCATTGCTCACGGGTGCACACTTTCACTAACGAAGAGATAAGTTATGTGAAAGAGTGGTAATGTGAAGTAACAGAAGTCTGGTTTCCAAGTACGGTTGAGTAGCTTACTTATAGGCATTTGGGTAAGACTTTGTCTATTTTTTACATGAAATGTGGCGCTATGTTGGCAATCGGCTTAGGTAGCGAAGATACAGCCATTTTTTCATTATGACCATTGCGGATTCTACACAATCATATATTCTTGCCTATTAATTTGCCCTCTCTGACCCGTCTTTTTTTGTAACTCGACATAAACATCATTATTGATATCATTATTGATATGTTCGTGCTTGTTAGAGAGAGAAACATGAGCTAGGGAAACTTGGAGCGTGATTTTATACGCCCAAAGGTTTTAACACCTTCAATAGAAGAAAATCCATCCTTAAGTGAATGTCTAAATATTAGAGTTGGTACGTAGCTGATCATGATTTACATAAGAACTTTTGTGGCGAATATTTTATCTATTTATTTCGTTTATCAAACCTTTTAAATAAATAGTTAAGATCGACTCATCAAAGTAATTAGTTCGTGATTATTATCAGTGTGATATCACTATAATAAAATAAATTTTTAGTAGTATTTAATATGATTTTAGTGGCAATAAAAATTACTACAAAGATTTTTATTGGTATTTTTACATTAGTCATTATATGCAGTGTCGCTAAAATATTTAGCAGCAATTATTCTGAATGCTGGTAAAAGCTTCTATAATGATCAAAAAAAGTATATAACTTTTTGTAACATTTTTTACTTTATAGTCGATGTGGGACTTGTAAGATAAATACAAATACTTTTTAATTATCTTATTTTTAGTCGACGTGAGACTTGTAAGATGAGAGTTGTCTTCTATTTATATATTCTTTAATTTTCTTATTTCCTAATTAATTATTTATCAATAGTCGATGTAATTTAGATTTTTTCCAATACACCTTTCAAGTTTAGGGACTATTGAATTTGGTAATGGTGAGTAATCTGATACTAACTTAGAATAGTAAGTTATAGATCTAACTCAACCCTACAAAACAAATTTGTAATTAAGGTGAGAATTATCATCTATTTGTATACTTTTTAATTATCTTATTTCTAGTCGATGTGAGATTTAAATTTTTCTCAATAAATAATTGTTGCTAATAATAAATTTTGATATAATGTAAATACATTTTTAGTGACCATTGTATATTAGTCATTAATATTTTTATTAAATAATAAAATAAAGATAATTAGTTTATTATTATTAAATAATTGTCGGTAATAATAAATTTTGATATAATGTAAATACATTTTTAGTGACCATTGTATATTAGTCATTAATATTTTTATTAAATAATAAAATAAAGATAATTAGTTTATTATTATTAAATAATTGTCGGTAATAATAAATTTTGTTATAGTTTATAATTGATAGAAAAACTTGTTCTTTAAACATGTGATCAAATATTTGACCTTTGTTTCATATATATTAAAAAAGAAATTAACTTGTTAGAAGAGCTCAAACTATTTCTTAAATCTTAGTATGTTGGAGAATTAGTCGTTTAAGTTTAGTCATATATTAATTTGTTTGAAAAAAACTATGTTCTATTCGCCTAAGATAAAGCATAATGAAATGATAACAAAAATGTAGAGGTTAAAAAAAAGCTAAAGTTCAAGTTAGAGAATTTTACTCAATTAAAGATGCCAGGCATAAAACGAGAAAAGAAACATTAAATTACTTTTGTCTTAATACCAGCGAATGATGAAGTTCATCCATGTGAATGATAGAGAAAAACCATGTGGCAGTCTCACATGTGCATTCACATGCAGCTTCCGAATAGCTCATGTTGAGTGTAACTAATAACGCATAGAAAACGATAGATGAAGAAAGAAACACCATACACTAACTTCTCTCCAATGCGTTACCTTGTCTTTTGTACAAACCAAGCAGTATGGGAATCCTTTCTGATTAGTCAATACCAAATAGCACTCTCGTGAATCGATTTATGCAATTCTTCTTTTGTTTCTTATTCCACCTCGAACCCCAAATGTACCAATTTTATTGGCTGGCTAATATTCTTATGTCACAACACTAAAATTAATTCTTGTAATTTAACTATTAATTAAGCACATTCCATCTATGCAAGAAGATCCCATGGGGCCATGGTCATCAGTGTTGAGACATCGTTTAGAAAACACTCATTGACTAAGAAAGTTTGGTTGATATTCTTTACTAAAAGAATTTTTAACAATTAGGGGTATTTGAGAGAGAGTTGATACCTTACAATGAGTCTTTGGCTGGTTTCTCCAGGAAGAAGGTGAACGCTCATGGCGACATTAACCTATTTACTCGTTTTTATTTTGATATGGAAAGGAGTATATAGATGTGCAAGTCAAAGTATATGGTAAACACATCCTACAATGTACTCTTAGGATGACCATTTCTAAATGCACTTGAGGTGATAGTATTAACACCACATCTGTCAATAAAGTTTTCTTTTGAGTCGAGAAGGGTTCTTATAGTGCACATTGACTAGAAAGCGATTAAGGAATGTTATTTCACAAGCCTATAAGTCACACCCCTGAAAGAAGACAAGGCGAAAGGTATTAACATGATAAATCCTAATCTGGAACGGGTCGTTCCAAGCTTCTAAAATGGCCTAGAAACCCTAGGTCAAAATGGGGTGTTCCCAATCTAGAACGGACCGTTTTGATCCAGGTTGTTATGAGTTAACTTCAAATCCAGAACGAGTCATTCCAAATTCAAAAATTTCTCATAACAAATTAATCCGAAATGGCCAATTCCGGTGATCAAAATAGCCGTTCCGATTAAGTTTGATGTCTATAAATACGAGACTCGTGTACAGCGCTTGGGAGCGAAAAAATTGTCTACTAGAGTCCCATGTAGCTCGAATTCTTCTCTTTCTCCTCGTTTTTGTATTTCTTGAGATTTGTGAGATAAATTGTAGTGTGTAAGGTAGCCAAAAAGCGTCTCAAGTCAACCATATTGGAAGCATATTTTATAATAGCTCGTTCAAGAGGTATTCCCATCAATTTTCTTTTCTATCATCTACTATTTCTGTCATAAACATTGCCATAAATAAAAGTATCCATGTAGACGTCTTATGTTCAATCAAGTAATTTTAAGATTAAGCATGTAAATAACCATTAATAAAAGGGACAAAATATTTGAACTTTTACTCTTTATCGCGCTAATTTCATCATAAGTTACTGATATAGGACGTTGTAGGGTGCCTAATACCTTCCCTACACGTAATTGACCCCTAAAGAAAATTCTAGCTGTGAGGGCCATTTTGCTAATTTTAAAAATATTTTCTTTTTCTGAGGTTTTGAGTAAAACATTGGTGGCAACTCCTTCAAACCCTTTTTCTAAAACTATTAATTAGGGATTAGTCTAGTTTCCAGGCATTCCCTAACCAATGAGATTTTCAAGATGGAAGTCCAAACCATCTGTGGGCAAGATCGAGATTTTTCGGGTTCATACAGATGACAACTCTACTTGGAAAACTTAAAGAGAGTCAGGCCCAAATAAATGATGAACTTAGAAAAATAAGAACAATAGTTCAAATATTTGTTCCTTTTACTTTGTTTGCTTTGTATGTATTTAGTTTATTTGGCTTTGATATTTGTGTGTTTGTTTAAATTCTGCACTTGTTTGAAATACACAACAGTTCCCTCTATAACCGAGGGTGTGAACATGTAAACATAGGGAGTGGTTGACGTACGGCTAGCCCAAGACTGGCCTTGGAGCTTGCGAGCGTTGTCGAAAATCACACTCAATGTGATAACTAGTTACTCTAGATCGAAATACTATGTTAGAACTTAGAGTTTGCCAGGTGACTGTGATAGAGGTACTGAGTCCCTATAATGGGGGCACCTTAGGAGCGTTTAAAGACTAGTGAGGATAATTAGAACCTTCCTATATAAAGCACTTTCTTTGACAAGGACCACAAACCATGAATTTGAACATAATTGTTCGTGGGTGTATGTTGTTTAAGCATATATATGTTGCATTTGCTGTGTTTTCTGTTTATTTCAAATGGATAAGGATTATAGGCAAACAAATGAATACCAATAAAAACTAACACCTTTCTATATAATCTAACATTATAAAAAAAAGCATCATATAAGTTAGTTTATTTCAAAAAAATTTAGCAAAAAAATCATGTGTCATAACACCTAGCCAAAACATGATAATGCTTAGGCAAAAAATCACATGTCATGCATTTCTCCCAGGCTAGTAATTAATCGACATTCATTTTCTTTAGATATGGAAGACATAGATAGTAGCATGCATGGACTGTTGAAGAAAGTGAATATTCTAAATTATGCAATGCCAATAGTCAACAACTTGTGCGTCCTAATGCCAAGAGAGGTCAAGGCAGATTTCGAGAAACATTATGGAAGAATCCTTGACCTATTTAAGATATCAATTGATCCCACCTTTATAAGAGCTTTGATACATTTCTAGAAGCCAACACTCTACTATTTTCAGTTCCCATGCTTTGACCTAATACCCACTATTGAGGAATACGACATAATGATTAGATGGCCCAAATTTGAAGGGATTTATTCCATTAAGGAAGGACGTATATCCTTAGATAAGGTAGCTGAAATAATCAAACTACCCTCTATAGACACTTAATTTTGTTTGGGACATGCAAACAAGGAAATGAGCCTTTAGTACAAGACAAAGAATTCCTGAAGGATTGAATACGACATCAGAATGAACCAGGATGACATCAAAAGGCCTGGAAACCCAAAAGGATGAATTAGGAGACTGGAACGGGCCGTTCCCAATCTGAAATAGGCCCTTCTAAGCTTCTAAAATGGCCTGAAAACCCTAGGTCAAAACGGGACGTTCTCAATCTGAAACAAGTTATTTTGACCTAGGTTATTATGAGTTAACTTCAAATCCAGAATGGGCCATTTCAACTTTAGAATGGGCCCGTTCTAGACTCAAAAGTTGCTCATAACAGACTAGTCCCGAATGCCCCATTTTTGTGACCAGAACAACCCAGGTAAAGTCTGACGTCTATATATATGAGCCTCATGTATAGTGGTCGAGACCAAAAAATTGCCGACTAGAGTCCTATATAGCTCAAAACTTCTCTTTCTCCCTCTCTTGTATTTCTTAAGATTT